CCCCGCTACTTAATTTCATAAAGTTTATCAAATTACTTTTCAATGGTGACATAGATATCATTACTCGTTTTGGGGGTACAGCGATAGACGGCCACTATTTATTTCGGCAAAAATTGTCACAATGCAGAATTTCAGTCATATTTTCTCGTATCTCCCGAATTCGATCCAAATAAACTGCAAGGCGATACGTCAACTCACAAAACTGAGGGAAGCTAAGGTAGTGTTAGGAGGGTAGGATCATAGACGTTCTTTCTTTTGTCCGAACAAGCTGTTTGATATAAACTTTAATATCGTGTTTCCTAAGTCGAGATTTTTCTCTTCTTCGTCAACACAAGAGAATTTGCAATGGCCATTTTCAAAGTGCAGTAAATAGTCTATTTAGGTTTTTTTAAGGTATCAGAAAGATACCAAATTCGAGCTAAGATAAAAATTATAAGGGTGGGGCTTTGGACCAATTTAGCATGACTTTAATTTGTGAAGAGTTGTGTCTATGTTTTTCATTTTTCTGGTGTTCATCCATCGTTGTGTAGTTATATTTTTCCTTGGCCAAAATACCCTTTGTATATTATGTTAATATTTTTATGACGGGGCAATGTTGCATGGTGTTTTTCTTGTACGTGCTATGCCGTAATTACAGTACTTGTATTCTAAGTGTATTTTTCTTTGTCAGACAAGCAATCCCTGGAGCATGATTACTTAATTTATGACAGTACTGTGCAAAAGTTATGCAAACAAACTTCGTGTCTTTTCTACGCAAACGAACGAAATTTCGTCGACAAGAAGTTTGCTTACCAAAAGATGCGCAAGAATCTTTTTGACTGAAAGCGTGCGTGACACTTGATTGGTTGACGGAAAGTTTGTTTACGCAAGAGCGAGCGGATGAATCTTTTTTTTTTTTTTCTTAATTGAAAGCGTGCGAGAGACTTACTAAGCGGGTATTAAATAAGAGCCAAATAAAGTGAAAAAAAAAAGCACTCCAACCCTCTACCCCTGCCCCCTCCTGCGGTGCTTTCGTGCACCAAATACAAAGAGACGGTTCAGAAAACAGGGAAGGGATCTTCTTATCAGAAAAACCCAGATAAAACGAGGAGCGCCCAATTCATTCTTTTATTCAGCTTTTAAATCTCGCGGTTCATGAATGATAGTTATTTAACTTTTATATTTCTTGATTATTAGGCTTTCCTATGTATTCTAATTACAGCAATATAATAGAACATGGTCCCTAGCTGGGGCATTGAATGTGACATCGAGATTCCCGAGTTTTTGAAACACCTATTAAAAATTAAAATTTTTGCAATAATTTTCCGCTGTGACTTTACCCAACTAGTTTCAGGCGTTTTTTCCTAACAGTATTACTTTTCGTTGCTAGTTATCTTTTGTATTATCTAAGACTAAAGCGATACTTTATGAGGTGATTTACAGAGACTAACAATAAAAGTGTAAGTGATCAGTCTCTTTCAACAAAATTGCGGAGGCAGAAATCTGTTACATCTTTTAGCTTTCTGAAATCGTCGCAGTATTGCCGCGGCAGAGGATCCTTTGCTGCGCTTTTCTTCCATAAGGTGTCGTGGCGCTTCATTCAGGTTGAAATCCTCGCTGACGTCAAAGGTTTCATGCAACGGCTTAGCTTCCAGGCCCAGTAGTAGGACCGTGAGAATAGCAAGGACCATGAGGCGACTGGGGCGAACAAACATCTTGTAGCAAATTGCCAGCAAACTGTTAAGGAAAATATGAAAACTGGTTTTATGGTAAGATACAACAAAGTCAAGCAAGACATATGACTGAATCCATTTTTAAAACTCGCGTTCCTATTTAATAACGTCTCAACGCAAACTACCAAGATTAAATATTTTGATATCAGTGTGTTATTCTCAATATATTTGGCAGTTTGCTCGACAGACCAAATTATTTTCTTCCGGTGTATTATTTGAATTTCGAGTTATCACAAATTTACCGTCGTGGGTGGACCTGTACGATCGAAGACAAATGACTCATAATATTTTTGTAACTCGATCATAAACTAAATGTGCTTATATATGCGTATACTATTTCTCAGTGCGTATCGGTCGATAACAAATGCCAGCTAAACGAAATTCAAAATACTTTGATTGAGGTTTTTAACTTTGCACCACTGCCGGTAGCGGGCTTCCGACGGTTTTTAACAATTAGAGATTTAGAGCTAAATGTGCCGTCACGCCTTAGTTTTGGTGCGTTATTTTGTTTTGTTTCCTCTTTTTTTTTTTCTTTATAAGTAATGGATGAAAAGAGAAAAGTGAAATAAACAAAAAATAAATGATGTAAGTTGAAATTCACATCAGTTTGAAAAGGACAAAACTCACTTGAAAAACCAAATAGTATTATTTTCCTTTTTAGTGTTAGGACTGGGGTTCCTCAGGGTTTTGTGTTCAAAGAAACATGGTCAATTGTCTTCAGGGAGTGTGCAATATTGTTTGATTACTTTTGGAGAACAAGAGGCACTCCTGAACGCGAAAGCTTTTATTATTAAAGGCTTTATTGGGTTTCAATTATCATATTCGTAATTACGTAAAAAAAATACTACTCTAAGGAAAAAAAAGAATAATAAACGAAAGAAAAGGTATAATAACCAAAGGGACAAGCACGAACGAGACCAAAGGACCCATGCAATAGCAAGGTGCCGCCCAAATAGAAAATTTAATTTAAAACGTTAAAAATTACAATTTTATATCAGCATCTATGAGTATCGAAAGGAAAAATTTAGTGTGAGCTATGAACGATGGCATGCGCACGATCTTACAAGTGACCAAGTGCACGGGCGTTCCACGTCAAATGTTGTTCGCAAAAGGCTTGTCAGAGTTTGTTTTAAAAAGTCTTTAAAAACATCGAGACTGGAAAGGCTACTTTTAGGCACAAATTTACAAGTAAAATTCCATAGGTTGACAATCCTATTAAAATAAGAAGCCTGAAATGCAGAAATTTTCCAAATTGGAATTTTTTTAGGGAACAAGGAGGAAAATTCAACTGAAATATCTCGGGGACCAGGATGAAGAGCCCCTGGGCATCAAGGAAACATGTATCCCCGGGGAAGTCCTGGTAACCGTGTTTACATATAAGCCGCTTTTGGCGGTGTGAGTTTTATTTTGCAATAATATCGATGAACTATCAGTTTACAACACAACGGAACGAATTTTCGCAACGGAATGAAAATTTCTATTCGGTAGGGCGTCTCAAATGAACGAGTATGGGATTTTGAAATGAACATTGAGCAACGAGGGGCAGCTGGGGCGAATTCGTATCAGCGTTTTCTTTCCACACGATAAAAAAAAACACCGCTGAATCAGGGACATTCCTTAGATTAAATTGAAATTGAAGTTACTGTTCACGGTGTGCTAAAAATCGATTTCCGTTAACCTTTGACATCAAAAACGTTTCTTTTCTGAAAACCGTATGAAAAGTGTGCAATATAATAACTGTTAGATGCAATCTTTAAAAAACTGCCATGAAGAAAAGCACTCTGCGAACAATCTGCGAGTAATTTTGCATAAGAAGGGTATTCATGATCAGCTTTGGAATATGTTTTTAGCTATTAAATCGAAAACGGACAGAAACCCATAACTTTTATTGTGTTCTTCACCCTTGCGCAATTTCAATCTAACGGGCGACTGAACTTCGATCGATTTCCGGATTTTGATTTCAATTAAGTTTTAATTCCCTTCAGTTTCAGTTAGCCCGGCCCGCTAAGTACTGTTTCCGCCCCAAAGTTATCATATTCACTGCCATTGCTACATTAATCACTGATCGTCATAACAAAAAGAAAATCTTTCTCAAACATAACAAGAGTGGAAGTAAGTTATAATTAAAACATCTCCTTATATCCACAGATTTGAATTTCCAATCTACAGTTTCTTTTCTATCAGTTTCCATTTCGACCGGCGCAGAGTATGTTTTCGAGATTTACTCAGTTGCAGATCGCCCGACAGTGGATAGTAACACGTTACATTATTTGTTTCTCATCAAAGTGGTTAAAGCGTTTTGAGCAAACATGCGACTAAGGTATTAGGTTTGTAATCATTATTTCTTTTCCAGCTTTATCCGATCAGTCATTGACTGAAGCACCCTCGAAAATTTCGTTCGTTTGACTTGCAAGTAAAAACAGAAAAACCGTCTTTACTGTTTTCTAAAATGGTAATGAGCACGCTGTAATGTTTGAGATTTTAGAGGCAGTTCGGAACCAAAAACGAAAAGCACAGTTACAGATATATAACAAATAAAACCGAATGTTAAAAAAAGAAGAAGAAAGAAGGGAAAGGAAACAAGTATCGAAATCAACTTATGCATTCTTCTGAATGTTCGCTTTCCTATTTCATTACAACGCGCTGATTTCCCTTAAATTAAATTTTTGGACGTGTACGTTTTGGGTAAAGTTTCGTTTCAAGCGACCAAACGCTTATGAGAGAAATACAGCCGGCCCGAGTTGTTCGGATAAGTGTTAACAAAACAAACCGTGCTATCCGCTGAATAGTGATTTATCCGGTGGATAGCGTTATACACCTTTCGAACAACCCGGACCTGGCGTCTTTCTACAAAAAGGAACAATACCGGCGCAGTAGACAGAGCAGGATTTAGACGGTTTTGTTTCAGGGGACAACAAACTATATAAATGCGATAATTTTTTGCTTGTTAGCAACGTGCATTGAAAGAGAAAAGAAATTTAGGACGAAACCAAATACGCTTGGCTAAGAAGCGAAGTATTGAAAGTCAGTAAGAAAAGATAGGTCAATATGCGAAGACACAGAAAGGATGCACGTAAATTTTACAAATACCGTAAGCTTAAACATTCTTAACCACGCTAGAATAAGTGACCTCACCTTTTCTACGTGGTGATCTGAATTTCTCAGTTCTTCGATCCCAGCAACTAAATCTGAAGACGTTTAATCTTCGTATGCTACGACCCTTTGATGGGCAGTTAATATCATGCATCTTTAATTAAGCTAGCTTTTCATAATCACTTTGATTGGGGTGATTTCCTTCTGTCAAGCTGTCATCGGCAAACAACTGAAGGAAAAAAACAATTTTCTCCTCTGACGCCTAAGTCAAATACGAACACAAGTAATTTCCAGGAAGTTGAGTTCTACGCCCACAATTTTTCGTAAAAAGCTGGACTCGAGAAACGTGTCATTGAAAGTTTCCTGCTGATCTTCAGAGTAAAGTTTCCGCTAATGGAAAAGGAACCAAGTTTACATTATGAAAAGATAAGAAATCTTCTGAACGTGGTTTCAGTCCATGTCCCACCCGCTCCTTTTAAGGCCTTGTTACAAATTAAGATCGGCATTTTCACCTGCCGTGTTTAATGACGTTCGTAATTGTCGAAAACTATTATGCTCCTTCATTTGCTGTTTACTTAAAAATATTACTATGTACCGAGGAAAGTCATCAAAACGCAAGCCCTTGAAGTGCTAAGCTTTTCCGGCACATGACAGGAAGTAAATCCTTTCAAAGTGAAAGAGCCTTTATAGTAAGTGGCTTTTTTATCGCAATCGCGAGTAGATAGGAACATAACGACTTGATTGAGTAAAATGCTACAAAAAATACTATCAAATCTCGGCTTTGTTTTGCTTTCAGACAGGGATAGCAAGAGGAAATTAAAATTATGATACAATTCTCCATTAAAAAGTAATTTACCAGGGCCAACCAAAACTAAAACTGACAGGATAATCGTCGTGTTAAAAGTAATAATAATAATAATAATAATAATAATAATAATAATAATAATAATAATAATAA